TCCCTCTTGGCATCAAACATTTTGTTCTGCTTTTCACACTTGATCTGGACTTTTTTCTCAGCTGAGGTTAAGCTACATTCCCCCTAAAAATGTCTGAAAAGTTCTTCTTGGCAGATGGAAAGCATTTTTTCGGGTTTTTCACAATTTTTGCAACTGTTGTCCACCTTGTCCGTCTGCTATCGCTGCCCCCGGCTGACTAATCCACTTTAATTTGCAAGGAATCATGGGATAAGCTATGACTCAAAGGAATCTTTGGTAAAAGAACAGACTTAGCCTAGAATGGCTGCCTTCAATCAATGCAGCCCCTGAATATAGACATACACTTAGACTAAAACTGATGGATGCAGGTAGATGAGAGGAAGGAATGTTATTTAAATGACTAAGGTTTCTATCATTACATTTGCTTTTATTTGTTCCTGCTCCCAGTGGTTGGCTCCTTTATTCAACTCTGGATTCTTCTGAGTGTAGCCTTTGTTCACTTTATAATAAAAAATAAATAAATAAACGAACAGTTTTGAAAACTTCAGTATTCATTCTTTTCCTGCTTTTTGTGTCAACAGAGCATATGGCGGTAAAACCCGCCGAAGGGTAGACTTGTTCGAATTCACAGCCAAAACACTTCCGGTGTCCTTATTTTCACGGACTTCGAAGGATCCAGTCTAGGTAGTCCGCGTCCTTGGAGGATGCAGCAGGTCTTCGAACAGAGCCAATATCTGGGAAGCCAACACTAACAAATTAGATGCAGTGACCCAATTTTAACCTGAAGAGGACGCCAAACAGACAGTGTTAGACACAAAAGAAGGTTTGGAAGAAATGTGAAGTAAATTGGCAACATGGACATGTAGTCTACATGTCTACACCCAGGACATGTAAACAGCACTATAAGACATCTATGAATGCAGTTTATTTGCTAAACAGAAGTTGATTTGGGGTAAATTGGATTGGAAAAATTTAAATCTTTTCTATCAAGGCAAACCTTTGAAAGAGTAATCAATGCTTTTATTTCATCCTGCTTTGATTTCTCCTATGGACTCAATGGTCGAGTGAGTCAGTCTTTGCTCTCTCATCTGTATCTGGTTAAAAAAGTTGCTGTTAGTCTTTTAACTGGTTCTCCAAAAACAGAACACATGACCTGTTCAGTGCATTTTAGAGTTCATTCTAAAATTCTTATTTTTATTTTAAAATGTTTGAATGACCTTGCCCTACAGTAGCTCTCTGAGCTTCTTCATTCCTACCATCCTTCTCAGCCCCTCAGGTCGGATGAACAGCAGCTCCTGCAGGAACCAAGGTCTAAGAGGACAATCAGAGCAAAGCCTCTATTGTTGCTTCTCATTTACAGTAGGAATAAACTACTCCTGCACATTTAGAGGCTCCTTTACTGCCTACTTTTATATCTTACAATAAAATGACTATATTTATTTTTTACCAATAGTAACACTAACTTTGATCTTGTATCTTTTAATGTTTTTATTCTTTATAATCATTCCTAAACTTTATTTACATATCTTTGTTCCTTTCAAGTTTGCAGCAATGTTCAACACTTTGTTTCAGCTGCTGCTGAATGTTTCATGTAAACATGAAACATGTTTTTGAGCTTAGAAGCAGATCCTGCTTTTAAAGGAAGATCTTAATATAAATGTGATGAGCAAATATTGTCATGTTTTATTAATGCTTAGCTTATTTTCACCTATAGAGGAGTCTTAAGGAAAATATTTTTCATATTAAATATGTCAAAATCCCTAATGAAATGCATACATGGGTGAAAGATAAAAACTCACCTGACACAGCTAACCTAAGGACTCCCCACTTTGTTATTGTAAATACATCTGTTCTTCCTCTGCATTTATATTCTCCACTGTCAGCTGCAGTGATCCTGTATTCACTGGATGTTGGAGAGTTTCTGCTGGTTGGTCTCCATTCATACGTCCACTGAGCTCCTCCACCTCCATGGATCTCACATCTCAGAGTGACTTTCTCTCCTCTGAATATCTGGGACCAGTTGGGTTGAAGGGTCACGGTGGCCTTAGAGACTGGAATGAATAAAAGCAAAGAGGAACTGCTAGAAACTATATA